GGACATACCTCCTGGGTGTGGAACAGAAAAGAATGAACGTTTACACAGACATGTTAATAGATCGCTCCTCTGCGGTGTCTCTAAGATTGGACCAGAACTCGCGATAGCTGTAATGAGTTGTGCATTATTTGCCTGGAATTGCAAACGACACTGAACTGAGAATTTTTCGAGATCCTCCCGATGTCTTGGCACCTTTATTAGGTTGAAGTCTTGTACTAATACTAAGTTGTAAATGCTTACGTCAATGAAACTGAGCCGGAAATCATTTAATGGAGAAAATGATGTTTTCTTCATTTGTGCTGAAACAAATTCTGTAAATCGAGGTTATTTCAGATATAAGCAATAACTATTTATCGCAGTGGAGGTGGCTAGTAGTAGATATTTAACGAGCCGCGAAGCAGCTTGGCAAATATTCACTAATAGCCACGACACTGAGGCGAATAGCTGTTTTTAGTACACCCTAAATCAGCGAGATAATATGGCACAAAAAGATGATTTTAATCATCAATTTATTCCTGTACGTGCGGGAGCGTGAAACTCGCGAGTTGCTCGGAGGTAAATAGCAAAGGATATTCAGAGTTTGAGTGGCTAGTCCGAGCGCACCTTCAACGCTATCCACTGCTTTAGTATATACTAATGACCTTTAACTTGTCGAAAACCATTGTATTAATTCTTGACATGGTTTCATCGTTTCAGAAGTTTCAAGTGAGAATGACTGTGACGAACAAGCGAAGGAAACAAGATGCACTTGCGGTAAAAACAAGAAAAATAAGTCAGTTTCAGATAATTTCTGTGTTTCTGGTAAATGCCCGTGCCACAAAGTGAACCCGCTCTTGTACCCGCTCGTGTAGATGTTACAATTGCAAAAATACGTGCAGTTCCAATGAAGTTGTGAGGATAAAAAAGAGTCTGAAGAGAGGCTGTAGGTGCGGAGTTGGACAAAAGAGCAAAGGGGCCCGAGAACCAAATGCAAGTCACAAGTCGTGTCAAGACAGTCTCCGCAAGTTGAAGTGTCCGTGTGTAGCGGGTGGCATAGGATGCACCGAAGTCTGCAGATGCTTTAATTGTGGAAACATTGTTCAAGCTCGAGCTGACCCGGGAAAATCCCCAAAACGAAAGAAGCGAACTAGGGCGACTGTCTCTCCATACAAGAGGAAGAAGGGGTCAAAGTTCATGATAAGTCAAAATGAAGAGGTGGATTGTGGACCATGGAGAAACATTGAAACGCTTTGTTTGATGGTTTGCCGGGACGTGTTGCTAAGTCAAGGACTTTCCATAAATTCAAAAAATTTGCGTGATTTGTATGATTTCGTGGCTAAGTCTCCTGCTGTTATGGACATGTCTTTAAACATAGCTGCGAAGTCTACAGCACAGATTGCGGCTAAAATAGAGGCATTGATTTGTAAAATACACATAAGATAGGGCTATCCTGTCTAGTGAAATTTTTGAAGGCTTCACTTCTGCTACCTTTTAATTCCGCTCTTAATGCTAAAAGAATGTTCTTCAAAAAGTTAAAAAAGTTACCCGTCAGATCTCATGTCCAATCAGACTTTTTAGCTCACTCTTTAATGGATGAAAAACACGAGAAAAGAAGACTAGTGATTCATGATTTCTAAATCCCACTGTATTAATCCACAGAGAAATTACTAAGTAAATAAAACTTTGTGTCAAAATTGAGTGATTACATAGATTTTGTAGGACTATTTTTGTTCTTTTGTATCTTGTTATTATAACAAAAGATTCACAGTGCGCATTTCATGTTTATGTTGGAAAAGGTGTAACTAATCGTATGCCAACTCGTTCATGTTGGATTGTTGCAGAATAAGTACAACTTGTTGCATGTTTAATTGACCACAATAGTTTTTTTAATTACTCTTATACCAATGATAGTTCTGCATTCCCTCCTTGACGGCATTTTCTCTTTTACTCTTTGTAAAAGTGTGTTATCAAAGAAATAAACACGTGATAAAGGCAATTTGTGAAATTCGAAAGAACAGGTACGTAGTTTCACAAACTTTATTTCTCACGGCCGTAATAGACTAAGCAAATCCTTTAATTTAAAAACACCAATCTGTGAAACGAGCACCTTTCAGGCCTCCTACTTTGATCGCATTGTGAAACTTTGGAATTACTCTTGTTCTATTGCTCCTTCTTCTAGTTTTTCGAGTCCGCTCTCCTTCCAGCTTTTCGTCAAACAAACACTTTTTGACTGCCTGAGAACGTCCTTTGACATTGACTAGCCCAGCACCTAGACACTAATTAGAACTTGCTCGTGCTGCAAGCTAGAGGTGTAATTAGTACTATGTTATAAACCAAATAAAGTTGTTAAAAAAGTTGTTCACTCAAATGGCAGGAATTGAAGCAAATGCATACATCAAGGTGAATATGATTAAATAAACACTTACAAAAGAATATCAAGTCTTTCAGTTCTCTGTCTTAGGTAAGAGGGAGTAGGTCCAGGGTAATAAGTCTGTCTCTGCAAGATATCTCGCCAATCCGG